TCGGAAGAGGTAGGGTCAGGCCCTTACGTTTTTACGGCTGACGATAGCTTGTTGCAACCACAGCAACTCCATGATCAAGTGATTTCTGTAGGACTGGAGACCAGACCGAGTTTGAGGAAGATCCTTTATGTCCTCAAGCGGAATTTCTACAAAGAAACGGAAGATTAACCTATTATTAGAAGAAAGATTCAGATTGCACTACTGTCTCTCCTGCACTGAGTTATTCTAACCTCTCCAGGATATTGTCAAGGTTTTGGTTCCCCAAGGACCTGCTGCACCCCCTGCACTCAGCACCAGGTCCTTCAGACCACGCAGGAGAGCGCGGGCTGTGTGCCAGCTCCCATCTCTTACCCAGGCTGGCTTCCAGGGACTCTGCCTCCAGGACAGCGCTGTCCCACACAGCGGACACGTTGCTGTCATTCTGCCGGTCCTCTCTCTCTGCTGGGGCGCTGCACCCCTTTTCAGTGCATTTATTGGCATCAGCCCTGAGATTTGGGGGGTTTGCTACATCACCTTCAGCCACGGAGCTCATTTCTTTCTCACTTTGCAGCTGGGCTGTAGGTTTCACACTGCTGCAGCCCCAGTCCCGTTCTGGTTCGGAGGTGTCCGGCTCCTCCCGTGGTTTTTCTGTGCTGGTCTCATTGCTCGGTACAGCCTCCCGCAGACCTGAACACTTCCCTTGAGTTGGCTTCTAAAGGGGCAACGTGCGAGAGATTGAAATACAAGGAAAAGAAAATACGAAGATCTGAAAGGTGGCTCTGTCCCACTCCTGCCATGACACCGACGTGCTCTGCTTTGAACCACCCTGAATTGGTCTAAGGGCTTTCCTTCCAGAAGTGGTAAAAACATTAGAGAGCGGTGCTCAGCCACCGCAGGAGGGCCCGGCTGTTCGGTATGACCGAGTGAGGTGGGTGCCCAGGGACAACACCCCCAGGAGTCACCTGCGCGGGTCGGGCATTTGACCTGAGGCTGAGCTTCACCGGCAGGAAGAAACCCTCAGCGTGGGGTCTCAGGGGCACAAGTGAGGGGGAGTCTTACAGGCCTCGGCTATGGAATTATTGGGTTCAGTTCAGTAGGAACACAGGTTCCTGGGACTGCGCTGCAAAAACATCGTCTGCCCGGCCACACCACCGCATTTTTTTGTGCCCCAGTGCTCCCCCCCAGACGGGACTGTGGAAGCCCCCAGCCGTCCCGACACACGGACCTCGGGGACAAACACAGGCCGCGGCAGGAACCGTCCCCTCCACTCCAGCTGGCTCAGGTCTCCTTCGATCTCCCGCACCACC